TCTCGTGACAAGAACAATATCTCACGAGTGAGTGCAGCGAACGAGTGAGATATTGTTCTTGCCACGAGAACATAAAATTCATATCTTCTCGTCACCGTGTAATATCCTCTATATATGTAGACATTACCTATTTTCAATCAGCTATCTTACATTCTTATTAGTTTATTTAACTCATTGAAATACACAGATAAAAACAACAACAACGGTAATCATGTTATGGCATAATCGAAAAATTGTGAGAGTAATAAAGGAAGGTCACAGGAAAGTTTCTTAGGGAAACATTTCAATCAAGGCAAACAATAAGAAAGAATAATGGTACAAAGGAAAGTAATGTTATTATGGGTTGAATCCTCTAACAACGATTTTGGGATTTTAACTTCGTATTTTCCTCAAGTGACAACAGATGTGTTGCCTACCTCTGCCCATTGCCGTGGGTTTTACTTACAGATTGCTCAATTTTGTGTGAAGAGATATTCCAAGGAACAGATCCGTTGCCTACACCTGCTCATTGCTCTGTTTTTACTTACAGATAGCCCAATTTTGTCAGTTTCGCAAACACTCTGGCAGATACAGATTTCATAGCGTTTGAAGTCAAATCTCTGTGTAAATCGACAACGCATTGTATTACAATACAGTGTAATTAATAATTTTCTGTAGTATAATTATAGTAATAGATACGAGTGTTTTTCTGGAAAAATACAAAAATACAACAGTCGTAAAGTTCATACGAAACTACATCCGGGAACCGAGTGGCCATTCTTCATATCATCATGTTCACTAGTAAAGATGTTGATGAAAACGCATTATGTGTAATTACAATAATAAACAATTTTTTTAATCGAGCTCTCACCTAATATATATACATATATATTTTTTTATCGCAACGAGAGACCCAAATACAAGATCGGCTTTGTAGCGTAAAGTGCTTCAACAAACTTACAGTTTCCACAGCTCTCTCTGATTGGCAAACACTCCGTCTGGTAGAGACGTAATAGCATTGGAAGACAAGTATCTTTAATATTAAATAATACAATTAGAATCAGCGCAGTAATATCAAAAAACGATTAAAGTATATATAAGGTATGTATATTACAAGTTTTTGAATTGTTGCATTGTTGCATTGTTGCACTGTTAAACTGTTGCACTGTTGCATTGTTACATTGTTGCATTATTACATTGTTACATTGTTGCATTGTTGCATTGTTACATTGTCGCGTTGTTACATTGTCGCATTGTTACATTGTTGCATTGTTGCGTTGTAGCATTGTTACATTGTTGCGTTGTTGCATTGTTACTTTGTTGCATTGTTGCATTGTTACATCGTTGCATTGTTGCGTTGTTGCATTGTTACATTGTTGCATTGTTACATTGTCGCGTTGTTGCATTGTTACTTTGTTGCATTGTGGCATTGTTGCGTTGTTGCATCGTGGCATTGTTGCATTGTTGCATTGTTACATTATTGCGTTGTTGCGTTGTTGCATTGTTACATTGTTGCACTGTTGCGTTGTTGCATTGCTGCATTGTTGTATTGTTGCATTGTTACATTGTGGCATTGTTGCATTGTTACATTGTTGCATTGTTACATTGTGGCATTGTTGCATTGTTACATTGTTGCGTTGTTGCATTGTTACATTGTTGTGTTGTTGCATTGTTACATTGTTGCGTTGTTGCATTGCTGTATTGTTGCATTGTTGTATTGTTGCATTGTGGCATTTGTGGCATTGTTGCACTGTTACATTGTTGCGTTGTTGCATTGTTACATTGCTGTATTGTTGCATTGTTGCATTGTTGTATTGTTGCATTGTTGCATTGTGGCATTTGTGGCATTGTTGCATTGTTACATTGTTGCGTTGTTGCATTGTTACATTGTTGTGTTGNGTTGTTACATTGTTGCGTTGTTGCATTGTTACATTGCTGTATTCTTGCATTGTTGCATTGTTGTATTGTTGCATTGTTACATTGTGGCATTTGTGGCATTGTTGCATTGTTACATTGTTGGGTTGTTGCATTGTTGCGTTGTTGCATTGTTACATTGCTGTATTGTTGCATTGTTGTATTGTTGCATTGTTACATTGTGGCATTTGTGGCATTGTTGCATTGTTACATTGTTGCGTTGTTGCATTGTTACATTGTTGTGTTGTTGCATTGTTACATTGTTGCATTGTTGCGTTGTTGCATTGTTACATTGTTGCGTTGTTGCATCGTTGCGTTGTTACATTGTTGCATTGTTGCATTGTGGCATTTTTGCATTGTTGCATTGTTGAATTGTTGCGTTGTTGCACTGTTGCATTGTTGCATTGCCACGCTCCTCTTTTTCTTCAGCGTTAAAGTAACCCCGTTGAAAGTGCCGTATATTGCTCGTTATTTCGTTACCATGAACATAAACTCATCCAAGGATCTTTTATGCAGAGAACATAGATCAGACATATTTCTCTGATTGACAAATACCGTGACAGCGTTTGATAACGACTTTTTGAATTGAGCTCTCACCTGATCTTTCGTTTTATCATACATAACGAGAAAACCAAAGCAAGCTGGGTTTGTATAGTAAAAATGCTTACAGTTGATACAACTTTCTCTGGTTGGCAAACACCATGTCTGGTAGAGACGTAATCGCATTTGAAGACAAGTATCTATGATAGTATCGAATGACACATAATACAATAAGAATAAATGTAACGATAACATCTAACAACGTTTTAGATATAATATTTTACATCGGGTCTTTTCACTTTCTTGAATTGTTACTTCTTCTAGATCAAACTAACCAACTGAAAGTACCTTATGTTGCTTGTTATTGCATTACCGCGGTCATTAACTCATGCAAGGTTCTTGATGCAATACTCAACTCATAGATCAAACAGATTTCATCGAGTGCCACTGAGTTTCAGAAATCGGGGGTAAGATTGCACTGTTCGATTGAGGGGCAGTCTAACAAACCAAATTTAACCAGCCATGAAGTACAGGCCATGGCCCGGAAATGACCAGTTTACGGCTTAGGTTAAAGTGAATGACAATGATTGGTCATGGTTTCCTTTGCCAGCATGAAATTTACTGTAGAATAGATCCTCGTGCCAAAGCCCGCCTATTGCTCTGTGTTATGCTAT